AATATCAGTGGGGATCTGAATGCTTTTAACAAATACCCATAGTTCTTCAAAGGGATATGCTGGAATAAAGGTATTAGCATATACAGACAAGTGACAAACTAAAGAAAAGAACAGAAAAAAGTGTCCAAACAAGCGACTATGTGCTATCACAACACCTTCAGAGCACCTTAGCATTGATTATAAAAGTCTTTTATAAAAGTCTACAGGAGGGAAGAACCCCATTTCTTCTAAAGCTTTCCCCTCAGTTGTTGTTCAGTAATTGCATGTGAAGGCCAAAGAACGTGATTCACATTATTTCGAAATCCATCGAACCACTCAGTGACCTCTCTGTCCCTACACGTGGGGAATTTGCCATCCTTGAAAAGACTCCCTCCCACGAGCATAGAAATATTTCATCATGGGATAAAGGTGATCACAAAGAACACCTTTGTATTGATTTCCTTTCATCTAAAAAACAGTCAAATGGACTCAATCCAGGTCATGCAACCATGCAAAATGCAAGTAGATATCCTGGAGGAGATCCAGGGGCTCCTCCTGGAAGGGTCAAGAGCTCAGAGTTTTTCCTTTATTTTGTCACCTGTCTGTATGCCAACATGCAGTAAACTCACTAACTGTGCTGTGTATTGCCTCCTGTGGCTCAGTTCCAGCCTCGCCACCCCTAATCCATTTCTCTGTTGCTCATTATTAGTGGCTTGTAAAGATTCTGTATCAGCTATGCTAAAAGAGCTTTTCACAGTATTACATGGGATTACTGTGTCTCCTCACCAAATATGTTGTGTACAAACTCTGCTGTAATATTACCAACATGTTTACATGGTAGAGACAAAATAACTGCTTGACTCATTCCCAGGGTCTCCCCCTCTTTTCGTTTCTGATTTGGGCTGTGTTTTTATCCCACACTCATCTCTCTCTTCCTTTTCTTTTCTTCTGCAGCATACGTTTGCGTGTTCATAACGAAGTGAACGATGGTAATGAAAAGAGAACAAATCTCAGGAAAAGGGGGATTTGTATAAGTATATGATGGCTGTCTCGCGGGGTTAAGAAAAAAAAGCAAATGCTTAACTACATGGTACGAAACACCATCATGTGTTTCAAACTGCTCAATCATAGTGCAGTTACCCAGCGTGGCAGCAATTGTTGCGGTTTTTAAATGTGTGTCTGAATCTAAAATACCAAATCTTTTTCTGACTCTAGCTCGAGCTATGAAAAAAATATGTAAAAAAAAATATGTCAGTAATTCTGCTTTCGGCTGAGCTCCCCTGCATAGTCACAGGAACTACAGCAGTGGTCACTTGTCACGCCAAAGTCAACCTCCACACCAGAATCAGCTCTCTCACATGTATAGATTGCCTTAGAGTATCCCTTTTGTCACATTATGAAACAACACTGTGCCAAGAGCCGCAGTTGTTCTCTCACTGTCCGCAGTGCTCAGCTGACCTAACAATAGCAGGAAAAATTACAGCCTGT